AGAGAGAGAGAGAGAGAGAGAGAGAGAGAGAGAGAGAGAGAGAGAGAGAGAGAGAGAGAGAGAGAGAAAGTGGATGTTATTGCTGACATGAGTTTCATTACATGCGATCTTCTTTAGGACCACACATGGGGGCCTCCCCTCAAGGAGCGCTCAACGATGTTCAGAGGGTCCTTTGGCCACAACAGAAGGAAGCGTGAGTGCATGTTATCTTAATTGAAAGCTTTGGAATTGCCGGTGGGAACGGAGCAGCGCAAGGACCACAAGCCCCTGATTTTTTGAGGAAAAAGTTCCGAAAAACAGGAAAGGAAAAAGGAAAAAAAGAAAAAGTTATATGCAGCATGTGAAAATGAATAAGGGGTTCTTGAATGATGGCATATGCAGGTAGAAGTGGAGTATTCAATGATTGCGAAGGTGGTCCATATATTTTGTTATTATCCCTGTCAAACGTACCATTTTCTCGATCTTCTGCGGTGGCCGTGGAATGGTATGTTAAGTTGTTAACATTGTTAAGGTCTGAATGACTGGTGATTGTAATGTCCTGTCCATTGGGATTGCTGTATTTTTCCTGCGGTCGCCGGGCCGTCATTAGTTGTGCAGAACCACAAGACTGTGGTGAGGGTTGTGAAGTTGGCGCTTTGCCTTTTTTATTATTATTGGTGATTTGGTTCTGTTGTTGTTCTTTGTCCACAGGCGTATCCTCCGGGCTTCCTGGTTATTCCGATGAGGTCGGCGGCAGTGCACCCATTCTCAACTACCAACCTCCTTGTGTTTGACCCACCGAGAGAGAACACTGCTGGGAAGGTACATGAGATGTATTTGGCCAAGGATGCGGTTGGCGTTCCCCCAGTATCGGCCATGGATCGAAGTCAGAGCAACAATGGTGTACTGACGGAGGTGAACGGTGACTGCCTAGTGGTCGATCCTGGAGCTATGCCTGGCATTGCTCAGCAACAGGTCCGTAGATGGCAAAATCCCTCCCCCCCCTTCCCCCTGTAGCTTTTTGACTGTCACCTGGGAAGGTATTTAAGAGGGAAGAAAGGCTGATGCGCTCACCGGACAGCATCGATCTGCTGCCTGGCTGCTAGCCCATGATCAGTTCTTCGGTTCGCTACCACTGTATGTGTCGCAGAGGCGAGCAGGCCGGTATGGCAAGCTGCAGAGGTGTACGGATGGAAAAATCTTGTAAGAATGGAGAGGTTGAAATGGTGCAGCTGATGCCATAATTTGCAAGGACATGATTTGCAATTACGGATGTGATCGAGTGGCCATTTTGTCACTTGCGAAGGCATTTTAAGAGTGGAGCGAGGCTGCTCCGATAGGGCATGCGCTCACCGGAGAGCGCCCATCTACTGCCTGGCCGCAAATTCCGGTGACCAATTCGTTGGTTCCTGTAGGAGCATGTTCTGTAGCTGAGGTACGAGCGTTGGAGGGCAAAACTGGCAAGTGTGCTAAGGGGTAGGGATGCAAGGGTCTTGTAATAAGAGAATAGAGGTTGGAACTGAGGAGCTAACCCCGTAAATGACAGGGAGACTGAGAGGCATGATTTCCACCTAACAGGTGTGTGATTGAGTGGGCAATTTGGGAGGAAATCCTCTGTGCAAAGTCAAGGACTTCTTCTTGCAGCCTATTCTTCCCCTTGTCCCGTCTGTCCGCACCGGCTTATGTGCATCGTCGCAGTGCATCTGATCAATATCGGAGCGATTGAATCTAGTGGGGTGGTATATGCTCATGCTCATTTTGCTGGTCATCTCCAGAAGAGGTGAGTGAGTGCTGGGCATGTGTTGGCACCTTTGTCTCCTTGATGTTTGCAGGTTGATGCATGCTCCGTACGGAGTAGCGTGATGCATGTCCTTTGCATGACATCCTGGTCTCTACTGTAGGAAGGAGCACGACCTTGATCTGATAGCTTGCCAGGTACGGTGCTTCCTTTTTCTGGAGTCTGTTGCTAGGCTGGCATCATAGATGGGTGACAAGGCGATCAAGTTGAAATGATCTATGGGCAGACAGTGAAACAACGACGATGCGGTCCTGAGCTAGGAATAAGGTGCGGAAAGGGGAATTATGGGGCAAGCTCTAACCCTGTGCTGTCCATTAACGTTGCGGTGTGGGTTTGTGTCCATGCTGGCGGATATTCTCCAAGATTGCAAGTCTGACTGGAATGAGTCGCAGAGTGAAACCATTGTTCTGGTTCAATTCATTGCAGGCAGCCTGTGGTATGGTGTGTCTTGACCCTTAACTGCCAAATTTTCTCCATGATTGCAAGCCTGACAGGAACTACGGTAGTCTCTGTGTGAAGTTATCGTTCCGAGGAACTTTGATCAGGCAGTCCACAGTTGATGGCCTGGATCAAGACACGTGCTAGAAGTCTGTGGTCTGGTGTGGCTTGACCCTTACCTGTCAGCCTTTCTCCATCTCTGACGGAAATGAGTCTCAGTGTGAAGTCGTCGCCCTCACGAACTTTGCTCAGGCTATCCACGGTCGATTTACTGGCAGTCTGTGGTATGGTGTGGCTTGACCCTCAGGTGCCAGTTTTTCTCCAAAGATTGTGAGTCTGAATGGAACTACTGTAGCCTCAGTGATGCCCTCCTGGTGCTTGCCACCACCTCCAGCGTATACAGTCTGTGGTATGGTGTGGCTTGACCCCTTAGCTGCCGGCTTTTTCTCCAAGATTGTGAGTCTGACTGGATCTAGCCTCAGTGATGCCCTCCTGATGCTTGTCGCCTCCGGCATATACTTGTGCCCTGAGTGATGCCCTCCCGGTGCTTGCCGCCTCCAGCGTATACTTTTGCCCTTTGCGGTGTTATTATGCTGCTATAACGAAGCATGTGAACAGGGTACTCCAGACAGCTGCAACCTGTGATTCAGCTGCACACTTGGTGAGGTACGGGAGGTGGCTGGGCAAGCCAGGCTCTATTTATGGATCGAGGGCGATGTCCAGAAACCAAGCCTCATCACCGTCTTACCAGGCACCAAGTGCACTTTGTTCAAGCGACTGGTTTTCGGAAATTGCCATGGATTGTGAGGGACACAAAATTGCAGGATCTATTTTTTTGAAAAATCCATTTTGCTAACATTCGTTCACGTTGTGTCTGTACGGGCTGGCACATCCGTTGCTGTCGAGTTACCCATGACTCTGTGTGTGTGTGTGTGTGTGTGTGTGTGTGTGTGTGTGTGTGTGTG